TAACATGCCAGAAGCAGAATCTTATCTAGGCAAGCAACTCTCAATTACCCTCCATAATGAAGGCCTGGAGTCCTTTTGGCTAGCCTCAGGCTGGGACAAAGCCAGCCTGGGAACAGGGAGGTTAACTGGGCAGAAAATTCAACACATCCATGAAGCCCTGCTTGAAATATAAAACTCCCCTCCCTGTTGCTTGACACCCAAGGAAAGGTCATGACATCCGAACAGAGGTCAGACCTGCGTGAAACTCCAATCCAGCGCCACTGCCCTGTACACCCAGGAGACCGCACACTGCACCAGTGCCTGCGCCCATGGGGAGGAACCTGACCCGCTCCGTAACAGAATTAGCATCACGGGTGCCCCCAGTGGAGGGTGGAAAAGCTTTGGAAAGGGTTAGTGTCAGCTGAGCTGGTTACAAATAATTAGGTCAGAATACAACGCTAAAGGAAAAAAACGTTTGGCTTTTTAACATGAATCTAAATGTGTATGAAAGCATTATTAAGTGCTTAAGGGGCACATTCTCCAGCCCTAGCCAAGTCCATGAAGTTAGCTTGAGAGTCAAAGTTATCGCAAGTGTGTAACAAACCTTTAGCTATCAATACCTGCCATTGCTCTGGAGTTTTGATCAAGCTGCATCACCGTGGGTGGTAGATTTTTATGCACCTCTGTAAACTTAGGTGAAAGATATAGGGCATAGGTTCAGAGCAAACAGCGTTTTTTTTCTTGTTCTTTTCCCTTAGAAGAGCTACAATATCTCCCAGCTGGAGGACATTTGAGCCTTGGAGTAAACCCCCCCAGCACAAATCTTTGTAATAATAGACAGCAATCTCCAGGTCTGCAGGTGATAAGCTATATTTTTTCAGGACTATCTTGTGTACCTCCTACTGGTCTTTTCTGGCATTCAAGTCTCAGATCCATATTTGGTATAATATCCTACACTGTGCATGAGGTGCTATTGTTCTTTGTGTTTGAAAATAGAGCAACTGCTCAGATGTTTGTAAAGGTAGCCAGGGCGGCATCAAAAGGAATGTGAAGCAGAAGGAAACCAAGATGTACTAAAGCAGCAAAGATTTTTCAACACTAATTAGTCTAAAAGGATTTTTCAAATCCATGAAACAATAGAGCAGCATTCAAGCAACATGATCACTCATCAGAAAAATAGCCACAATTAAAGCAGGTTTTTTAGTACTTTAAAGTCATGAAATTGCTCCTTTAAATTAAAGCTCTCAAATAAAATGTTAAAATTAAGACTATAAATAAGTACCTTCATAACCTAAAATGCCACTACTTTATTTCAAAGGAAAATAAACCATTATGGGGAAAGCTTAAGTATTTCTCTTATTACAATTAATGGGGTTTGACAGATTCTTTCAGTTTAAAGTGAAGGCTCAGACTGAGTTTTGTATTTGTGTGCATGTAGGTATGGGGGTAAGGATACAGATGTGTCTGGTGTTAGAACGGGTTTCTGAAGAACCAGGTCAGTAAACCAATTGCTTAGCTCCGGGGGACTTATTTGGGTTGTTCCTGATTTCTACTTGCAAAACTTAGTTTTACCTTGAAATGATTGTTGCTCCTTTTTTGACCTGAATGATTGATTAGCTAATATTTGGCACCTTACCAAGTTGTTTTAATCAGGTATTTAGTTTGTGCACTTCTGTCTATTTGCAAAGAAGGGACACAAAAATCCTGTTTCCCAGAACACAACAGGGACAAACAAAGAGCACGCAACTTCCTGGCCAACAATTTCTGAGCCTACCTTTCAAGAGCAGTACTGTGTCCTAAGAAGCTCTCTCTCTGCTTCTTCTCATTACCCTGCTTATGGCTGCTTCTGCTTCCTGCCTTTCACATACAGCTGCAAACAATCTATCTTTTTCAGTCCTTGCCAGGGAAATTCCTCAGCCCACACAGCTTAGCTTCTGACTGGGCTGGCTACAAAGTCCATTGCCTTGGGCCTCCTATTGTTTTCAGCTATCACTATATAAAAGAAGCATTTGTTTGCTCCTTGCATAGAAGGAAGGTGCTTACCATTCACACTGGCTTCAATAAGGTCTGTGACTGATCTGTAGATCAAAGACCTGCTCCTTAGATATAAGGATAAGGCAGTGCATAAAGCCCAGCTAGACTTCGTATGGTATCTATAGACAGATCCCCCAAGTCATCACACCCTTCCTTATTTCCAACAAGCAGCCGCATCTGGTGGAACCAGGCACAGGGTTGTACGCGGCAGCTCTAAAAGCCTAGCAGAGTCAGACTGATGGAGGAAAGCAAGGTATGAACATTAAGCATGGAGTCACTTTGAGTCCAGTAACTCCCCCCCCACCACCACCAGTGCTCATAACAAAAAGGATGTCACAGGAAATTAAAGGCACCCATGCTTTTTTGCCACAGTACCATCTAAAAGCCTAATCTAGGGTCCTTACGGCTTCACTTGACTGTTCGGTTTCCCTTCTGCAAAGACTGGGTAGCAGGACTGGACCCAGAGGTTTTGCTGCACTCTGTTCACAAACCTTGCACTTTAAGCAGCCCGTGCAGGCCCACCATTTCTTCCATTTCCTTCCTCGCAGCTTGGAATTACAGTGGTCTGGCTCACATAGACTGGAACAGCTCGCTGTCCCTATTGCACCTCTAGCCTGAATATTGTTCCAAGCAGGGCAGAGGTCCCTCCCTCCTTCCTGATCCTCCCCAGCCTCAGTGTCTCCTGACAGCCAGACCGATTGCATCAGCCGGGCGAGGGGGAGGTGGAATTCCAGGGGTATCTCACTACTGTAATGCTGTAAATTCATGAATCGAAGCTAGAAGAAAGGAAACAGACGGAAAGAGAGAGACACAAAGGAGCTACATTCTTTTGACTGCCTTCCCACCTGCTCGGCCAGCGCGGTTTCCCTTCTGCCCGCTTTGCAACGTTAAGTCAGGCTTTCTGTTGTGCTGGCCAGCCCTTTCTCAGTGCATCAGAAGGTGAAACACAGGGTTAACCCAAAGCTCCCGTGCTGCCACAGCAGATGCCTTACATTTTGTTCCCTTGCAATTGGCAGAGGCACCCAATGTTTTCACTGGGGTAAAGTCAAAAGCCACATTGCTCACGAAAAACAAGCCAAGGGGCTCTGCCTATCCCCGGCTGCTTGCTGCCTCCTCAGACGGGGCTGTACCTCTCTAGGCTCTTTGTAGTCCAAAGCGATGCTGAAAAATCTGTTTCTTTACCACTGTGTAGTAGCCACAGCAACAAGATTATCACCATGTCAGTCAGCAGCCAACACCAGGCCTCAGCCTCATGGCTTCACATGGCATTGGTAACCATTTCAGATCTAGATACATCTGGACTGTGGCCCTGGCTCTGGTTGTGTAGTAGCTGAATTGATGTGATGAGCTGTGCTAAGAAATTGCCATTTATTTATGGTAACAGGGTTCACATCCAGGAAGTGTAAGTTAAGAAGCCCGTTTCTCACACCTTGCAAAGCCCCACTGACTTCCTATCTAGGCCTGTTCCACATCGACGTCACTGCTGTCAAAGGACGTAGCCACAACCTCAGACCTTGACAACACAAGAGTCTTGGAGGAATGCTTAAAAAGCTGGGGACTTCTGGCCCCCCGCATGGCAGATATCTGCAGCTCAGTCTTTTGCGTATTCTCATAGCCTGCCTGTGGCTTAAGGACGGGACATTATCCCTTTTGTACAGGAGGAGATATCAAGCACTGAAAGACTAAGTGATTTGCTCAAGACTACACAGGAGAAGTCTGTGGCAGAGCAGGCCTGAATATCAGGGTCACACCCAAACCACAGGGACCATGCCAGCATAGTTCCTATAGGCTCTTCCCGACTGTAATCCTTACCTGGATCACAATTTAACTGCTGCCCCATCTCTATCATAGGCCAAACCAAAACTCTGAAGTTTGATGCTCCCAGCATTTGGACTCTGCATTGGAGTTTGCTGCGTGGGCCTATCTTGAAACAAAAGCAGCCCCTGGAGTTTTATTTTCTTTTGTTAGTATCTAAACACTAATACTGAGAAACTGCCCTGTGCCCCCCAAGGGCCTCACTTCCACTAGCATTCAGAGCATCCATGTTCCAAGCTACACATGAATTGTACTCAAAAAGAAAGGTACTGTAGTTATCCCTGCTAGTCTGAAGTCAGGCAGAAGGCAAGGCACACTGGCACCTTTTATAGACTAATTCAACTAATAAGCTTTCAGAAGCAGGAGCCTACTTTGTCAGAGGCCATAAATGGACCTGCAGGGAGCAGAAGCTTCTAAATAGAAAGCAGTAAATTCAATAGAAACTATAGGGAAGTGAGGAGGAAGCGGGAGGTAGTACTATTGAGAGAGGCAAAGGTGGCAAACAAAGCAGTAAACCCATAGGGACATGGGTTTTAAATGTAGCCTACATAATAGGAATCCATAGTCTCTGTTTAGATCATATTTAGGAAGGACAGACTGATTGACTTAGATCAGGGGAGAAACACTTTCCATGCCCATGAAAGGCCTGACATGCAGAGACACAATGCTGTTACCACTACTGAGCAACCAGCAATGAAAAAGCCAACAGCTGATTAGGTCTATCCTCATTAGTAAACAGAAGTGACTGTGTCCTACCAGGCCAGGCCAGGCACATTACTCAAGCTGCATGGACTCCACTGGCCTTGCCACATTTGAGGCCATTGGAGAAATGAACCTGATTTGCAGAGCCTCGATCCCAGCCCTAAACCTAGCCAGATTCCTGACACTGGGATCTCAGTTGTGATCCAAGCCTATTTTTGCAAAAAAGCAGCAGAATACACGATGTATTCTGTATCACTTTACTGTAAAAGGCAATCAGCAAGAAGGAATCTAGAGGAAAGAGCAGCAGATAGACACACTGACTTTTCAAACCTGCTGTAGAAACTTGTGGACTCCTATTCCAGAAATAAGGCAGCTGCAACAGTGATAGATAGCAAAAGCTCAAGTGCCAGCATAAACAGGGCTCAGGTGTTTTTAACCACCTGGCTGATGGGCCTCAAAATGCCATTGCTAATAGGCAGCATCATGGAACAGGTGTGTATCTGGTAGGATCCCAGTTCTTGGCCCTGCTGCATTTAAGATTTTGATCTGCACCTTGGAAGAAAACATAAAATCATTACAGATACAATAAATGGAGGATTTGTGAGGTGAGGTAGTACCTTTTATTGACCACCTTGTATTGCTGGTAAATATAGGAGATAAGCTCTCAGGCTCCAGGTACCCTTCATCAGGTCTGGGAAAGAAGTAGTTACAGTTCAAGCTAAGTATGGAGTTAGAACAACCGATGAACTGGCAGTTAGCACGACGGTTAGGGGAAAGGACAGATGACCATGCAGCACAATTTGGATCACTTGGTAAGCTGTGTTTGAGCAGAGAAAGTGCATTTCAATACAGTCAGATGTACACTAATGCATCTAGGAAGAAAGACTGTTGTGATGGACAGTCAGCTAGACATGAGCATCCAGCACTTCTGGGGTTCGTCTGGTGGCAGTAGCATGCCCCAGGCAGCAGGAGGCTGTTCCCAAGCAGCCTACCCGAGTCCAGTGACAAACTCGGGAGCCAGAAGTTTGCCAGCAAAGCTGATCTGGGCTCATACCCGGCACCTAGTTCTAGACCCTTGGTCTCCCGTGGGTGCTGCACACAAGGTGAGAGCAGCCTTACTAGTAAACTTCTGGTGGTCATCCAGGAACTTGGGTCACCTCCACATCCCAGAATGTGCTGCGGCCCTGGCATAGGCAAGACAACTGGAACCAAAAGGGCTAAGGCAATCCTTGGTGCTGTATACACAGAAGAGTATTAAACTGTAGCGGAGACATGATTTCATAGACACTAGGGCTGGAAGGGACCTCGGAAGATCATCGAGTCCAGCCCTCACCCAAAGGGCAGGAAGTCAGCTGGGGTCCTAGGATCCCAGCAAGATAAGCATCCAATTTGCTCTTGAAGGTGTTCAATGTAGGTGCTTGAACCGCCTCTGGTGGCAGGTTGTTCCAGACCCTGGGGGCTCGGACAGTAAAGAAATTCTTCCTTATGTCCAGCCTGAAACGGTCGCGCAGTAGTTTATGACCATTCGACCTTGTCATCCCTCGGGGTGCTCTGGTGAACAAACGCTCCCCCAGATCTTGGTGGTCACCCCTGATAAACTTATAGGTGGCCACCAGATCACCCCTGAGCCTGCGCTTTTCCAGGCTAAAGAGCCCCATGGCTCTCAGCTGTCATCTAAGGTCTGTTTGCCTGATCTCTGATCATGCGCGTGGCTCTTCCCTGGACTCTCTCAAGCTTCTCCACATCCTTTGTGAATTGTGGAGCCCAAAACTGGATGCAGTACTCCAGCTGTGGCCTCACCAAGGCCGAGTACAATGGGAGAATGACGTCCTGGGATTTGCTTGAGAAGTATCTATGGATGCAAGCTGGCATTTTGGTTGCTTAAATCTAGTAGTAGTATCTTTGTTGTTGACACTGATGCTACAGGATCTGTTGTTCATGGTTCAAGAAGGCTGATGAAAAATTGGAGAAGTTTTAATCAAATAAATGGCTGAAAAATGATTAAACATGTTTTGTAACTAGAGATTTCAGTGAGAGACTTGAAGAACTGTCTCTTCAGTTCATCAAAGAGAGGGCTAAGACTTGATCCCAGTTTACACTAAGAACAGAATCTGGTACTAGAAAGTTCTGCTTATCGGCTAATGATGCGCTGTGATTTAATGTCTGAAAATTTAAGCTAGGTAATCTAGATTAGAAATTGAGACACAAATTCTTAACTATGAAGGTATTTAACCATGAGAACAACATTAGCAAGGGTTGTGGTGGATTCTCCATCATGGGAGACGTTCAAAATAAATTAGATGTTTTTCAAAAACATGCTTCAGTTGAAACAAGGATCAGGTCAGTGAAAGCTATAGCTTGTGTGGTGTAGCTCAGACTAGACAAGAACAATAGCCCCTTCTTGTCTTGCAATCTAAGAGAGCCTGCTGAGAGCACATTTTCATCACACCGTGGTGAGCATTTGAGACCTGCACCGGTAGATTATGTCAGTTCAAGTGCACCATTTCTAGAATGGCAGCATTTGTTTTTTCTAGTATAGACACACACTTAGATGAGGCAGCTGTGATAATCGCAGGAGCTCAGCTGCCACAGTCTAGGGGCACAATCTCACAATGTCTCCGAAGGAACAGAAGAACCAAGGATTACAACTGAGATGGCAAGACCTATGTATCCTCATTAGATAATGGATGCCAGGAGGAATGCAACTTGACAAGTGAAAGAGGTTACATTTTCCTCAGCTGCAAAAAAGGTACCCAGAATAATGTTAAGAATGCTCATATCTGCTCCAGCCTTTGTAAATAAACCAGCAGCTTTAATGAGTCTCAATCGCATAAAAAGGAATCAGGATAAGGACCCTCCTCAGGCCAGACATTACTCTTTGAGTTATTCAGTCCTATGAAAGAGAGTTTCTTACTTCTGGCATAATCTGTCCTTTCTTGGACATCTCCCCTGCTGGTGTTTTTTCACCTGGGCTCGTTATCTGCTGCAATATCAAGTTGTTTAGCGTTTTAAAATATTTTTCTGTGTGCCTCAGCTAATTTGTTCTCACCTTGTAGCTTTTGCTTTAGGCTGTTAGTCCTTGCTTTTTAGGACATTCTTATGCAAAGTGACGAGGTAGCTTACTTAACAAATATAACTCCCCTGAAAAAAATCTGATTTACTTGGTGCTGTCTTGGCTATGACCTTCAATGCAGTCCACCTTGTCTACTTCTTTCCCCTGGGCTGCACAAACTGGGCGCTTCCATTTGCTTTTCCTGGGTCAAATAAAAAGAGATGCTGTCTATTGTCCAGAGAACAGCATAGGGATTCAGGCACTTGTGCGTTCTGATCTTGGCTGATGTCAAATCCCTTGTTGGCTTTAGGTGAGTTGTTTGACCTCTGCCTCAAGTTTCCCTGTGTTGTCAGTTCAAAACTATCTGTAACTACCTACCTCTGAGTGCAGACTGGGATCACCTAATGCTAGTAAAGCTAGCTAATACATGTGGGGTAATGAGGATACAAATTAAGCACTTGATTCTCATAAAAGTTGTTCTTTGCCATGCAACGAAGAGATCTTGTTGGGACTAGTTAATTGAGCAAACATTCCATCCCATTCCGAAATATGCTAGCTATGCTTTCCTAGGCTTTTTTCGAGAGTATGTGCTGTCCCTTCAGCACACTTGTTTCTCCACCAACCTGAAAAACAAATGCCTGCTCCCAATTCCCGGGCCTTACCTGATGCTCCCCAATTCCTGTCAGATTGGATTTCTCTAAGGAGGTATTCTCACAACACATCATTTCATTAAACATACAAGAGGAAGAATTACTAGATTGCCTGCCAGTGTTGTTGCTCTGTCTCTTCCTCCACCAAATGTTTTACCTCTGGGGTATTTTGTCATGTCTCCACTGAAACCTTTTATCTTCAATTTCTTCCTCATCTCCCATCTCTCCAGAAAGGCTGCTTCAAGGCTACTTTTCATCCCTGCCCATATCTGACTCAGTGAACTGGCCTCCTAACTTGCAAACAGTGTTCAAGTTTGTCCCCATCACCATCAGAACTCCCCACCCCTCCATTTCTTGCTTTCATTTTGCACTTATTTTCCTCTAGTTCCTCTTCCTTTCTCTATACTGCAGCTACTTCCAGGATTTTTCTCATACTTTTTTTCATGACACTGCTTACAAACAGGCCGCCTCCTTGTCTTGCAGTATATTCCTGGAAACAGTCCAGCTTCGATTTTTATACACCCCAGTGTCTGTATAGCTGGTGTCTCTCTCTAATGTATTCCTGTACCTTTACAACCTTAGGCAAAACCCACTAAAGTCAACAAAAGAGTCTTACTGACTTGAATGGGTTTCAGTTGAAGACTTCAGGGTGTCTGCACTGCAGTCTTCTGTGACTGCGGTGTAACACATAGAAAAAGCCAAATTAACTTTAAATAAGGTAGCTCAGGAACTATAGTCATCTAGTAGTGGCGGCATGGGACTCCATAAGGGGTAATTGATTCTGGCAAGAATGTAATCTGTCATGTCTGGAAAACCAGTCTTGTCTTTGACCCTTTCCAAACATAACATAAAACCACACATTTACATGGTGTTTTCCAAAAAGCAGCAAGCAATCATGGAAATCAAACTGATAAGCTTCAGGAAAACCTGTGCTAACACTTATGCAGGGCAGCTGTCTAGCATACTGATCGCTTTCTGGTTGTTTGAATTGCCCACCCACTAAACAAAGCACGTCTAGTGAAAACTTTTTTTGTCCTTTCAACATGTCTTGTGAGGATGTTTTGAGAATAAAGTGAAGTAATGGGGAAAGAAAGAGAATCTGTCTTAACATGATTTATGTATCGACACACTATGTCAAAGGGAAATAACCGATTTCTTATGACTAAATCACTGGCTCCTCATTTCTCTCAATGTAAGTAACACCGAGCAATAGTAGTGTATCCTTTTGACATGGCACACAGAAACAGATACATAAGATCTAGGCCTCCCAGCCCAGGTGAACAGATTTTTGCCTTGAAGTCAGAGATAACCAGGAGTCTTTAGAAACAGGAAGTCATGCTAATTAAGTTACATATGAAAAGGAAAGGATATTGAGATAAGCATTTCTTATATTTCTGGATGTACATCAGATTCCAGCTATGTAGATGCTGCTGGGCAAGTTGGAAGTTCCTTCTTTTATTTAAAAAAATGTGAAGGTAAATTGACATTTACTCACTGTGGTCTTTTCAATATCATTGTAGAAAAGTTTCAAACTATTTTACTGAGATCACACACAAAACATCAACGTGGTGCATGCCTATGCAACAAGTGGCCTGAGTTTCAGAAGGAATGTGTATTCCAGCAACTCCTGTTGAGGCAAAGAGGTGTTGGGTTTGAATGTCTTACTTTTTAGCTTGAATGTCTTACTTTTTAGCTTGCTGTTTTTAAAAGACTTGGCCTCACAGTAGTACATCAAGACTCAGTATGCAGCATACACCACACTTCCAGTATGAGTATCTTAGTTCAGATTCAGGAAAACAAGACAAGGATTGAGGGCTGTGTTAGAGCAGGGTGCGCACGTCTTCCTCATCTGCTGCTGCCACAGAAAGCTGGCAGCTGCTACTGCAGAAGGCAGGCTTCTTAGGAAAGCTAAGCTGTATCTACCAGGGTGCCCTGCTGGCTGGGTGAGGGATCTTCTTGGGAACACCTGTTGAGTTGCACCCCTGTTTGAGTTTACGTTTCACTGAAAGGAAAGCAGGAAAAGGGCTTTTGGAAAGTAAAGGGACGACTGTAAATAGAGGATCTCTGCAATTCCCTCCTTTCCTGAAGGAGAAGAAAGTGTAGCCTCCAGCCAGACTGAAAACAAGTTCCTTCCCATCCTCAAAACAAATAAAGTGAAGCTTATAAGCAAGCTGCTAGTTGAAACTTGGGAGATCCCCCTTCCCTGTGCAGTCTGGTGAAAAGCTGCTAGAAGAAACTTTACACAAAGAACCTCGTCTGCTGCAAGAAACAGGCTTTCTGGAGTGCTTCCTTCTCTTTAGGTGAAAGCCTTCCTAGTCCAGCTGGAATCAAGACAAAGAAGTGGAACAAACCTGCAGCGTTTAAGAAGCTCTTACTCTGTGAGAAACACACCTTTCCCCAATCCAGGGATCCCTCAGTTCCCACCTGCAAATGATTTTCCTTCTATTGCAAGTGCTCCCAGCCTCACCTCCATATAACTCTTCAATTTACTGGGGCTACTAGATGTGTGTACATGTGGATTTGTGGCAGAGTCTCTTGAATAGTTTACGTGGGATTCGTGCAGGGACTTTTTCTTCTATAGGAAGTACAGAAACACTTTTTGCACAGCTGTTCCCATGGGGAACCCCTCCCCCCATGAGTAAGATTGGCTAAGACACGACTGGGAGGGGGGGCTCGTGCCCCCCCTAAAGTGGCACCAGTCACCCATGTGTTCAGCCATGATAACCCTTCTCTTCAGGTCCTCTGCTATAAGAGGCTTATAGTCCTTTGCACCACTTTAGATTTCATCCCATGTAAATAACGAGGGACTTGACATATTTATGGGATATGCTGTGCCTATTCCAGGATTACTAACCCCGCTGAGACAAGTATTTTCTATTCTACGTTGCAGCTGGCATGTTTTAACTTCTCTGAGCAATCCAAAAAAAGTGTCATATTCACAGCCTTGGAATAGTGCAGGTATATATTTTCCCAATTTTGATTTTTAAGCTGAAATATCAATTAAAAAAATATTTTAAAAGAGATTTTTGGAAAAATTATGAACTGTTCATAACTTTTCTACAGCAAACTGGAAATATTTAGTGTTTATAACTAGCTCTACCCTGGAAGTAAAAATCCAATCTTTTTTCACATAACAGCTGTAAGTCTTTGCAGGACTAGGGTCATATTGTTTAAATATAAAACTTTGCAAATAGGGAAATAGATGTTAAAACCCTGGAACCGCACCATAAAACTTCTAAAATAGAGCATTTCCAAGTATTTTCTAAAAGCCTGACTCTTAAATACTTTAATAAGCTAATGATTTACCTCCATACTTAAAATAATTAGGTTAGGTTGCTGTATTAAGTTAATGTTTTACATTTTTTGCACCAAAAAAAATCTGAGACTGCCATAATAAATTAATGATTTACCTACAGCGTTATTTTTGCAGGCACACAGACAGAGCAGTTTAAAAGAGCAATCATTTAAGAATTATATTAAAGACAATTCAAAGGGAAGATGAAAGTGGATAAAAGGTGTGTATCAATTAACATCTTGCTTTTTGTTAAAGTGTGTATTTAAGGGGAAAAAATGAGTTAGTGGAAGGAAGAATGGTACCTTGTATGTAGCTGGGTGAAAATGCAGTCCCACTGGTTAGCAGACAAAGCAAAAAATACAAGTGTATCTATATATAAGATAAATTTTCCACGCATACTGGTATATGTTTCCCCCTAATCAAGGGATATCTGTACCCAGCCAATAAATAAAGTCACAATTGTACAACTGATCTGCCCAGATGAACATCTGCACCTGCATAGAGCTATATTGAAGTCGATGGCCTTCATAGAGATGCCACAGTCTAACCAGAACTCCAATCACAGTATCAGGCCAGTAAGCATTAGCTTTTGTCATTATTGACGTGTTCTTGCTGGTCTGGCAGATTTAGTAAAGGAAAGTTATGTTATACACCAAAGCTTGACATGAGAGCTAAACTGAGAAAAACAAAAGTGATATGCACGTTGCATTATTTGAGTATGTCAAAAATACACATTGCCAAACAACAGACATGCACCATCTGCTCTTCACTGTTTACAGTAAAACAACATAAACATAGCTTAGGTCCATAATCCATATGGACAGTATTTCAGACATGCTTAGAAACTACAGTCAGGACTAAGACCTAACTGACCTTCCTGTCCCCAGAGACCTCACTATCTACACTGATATTTAAGGTTAGATAAAAGAGCCAATCCAAACTGACAAGACTATGAGAGTTGCCAGTGCTCAGCATGTTTGATCTGGTTCAAAAACAAAAGCCACAGAAAAGTGCTACGTTATCCTACAGTACTGCTGTACTCTTGGGTATTTCTTCTCAAGTGCAATTTTGTACCTTCTATAGATTTGCCAAAACCTTAGTCACATAATTTAACTGCCCTGGGGCCACTGATTACCCTATCAAACAAGGAGAAACTGCCCTCCTGCTCCTTTAACTATTGTACAGGTGACACCTACTGGAAGAATGTGATGACAGCAACATGTGTTTCTTCTATGGGGAACGTAAGTGCCATATGGAGGCAGGCCAGTGGTCCATTTAGTCTAATATCCTGTCTCCAACAGTGGCAGGTGTGGATGCTTTAGAGGGACAGCATTGAACTGGGTATATATAAAGTGATTTATTCCCTATTCATTATCATCCCATGGGACTAATGCTCAAGAAATACTAGTGACAGCACAAGCCAACAAGCTTGCTCTACACCTGCTGTCCTCATTCAGTTTCTTTCTAGCACAAAACCAGATTAAGCTCCCCAGTATACCTCTCACGCTCCTTAACATATAAAGAATGTATAGCAGTGGTTTTGGGGTCAGTTCAACAAACCAAAACAAGATGATTGCAGTTTCAGGAATATAAAAATGTTCTATGTTGACTGAAAATGTTGAAACAAAATATTTTGGACCCAATAATTCCAAACTGATATTTTCCAGAATTTCTATTTTCCAGAAGTGCTGAGTTTCTGTGGTCAGGGACAATTCAACAGCACTTCTCTAACTCCAACTGCTCCAAATTCAAGCTCAGATAATCATCTTTTTCCTTCCAAACTACCTTGCAATTTCAGGTAGCTTTGGCATTCTTCCTTCCTTCCTGTCCTGAACTGTTGCAAAGCCCTGCTGTGCACTTAAACATATAGGCCATGTCCAGACGAGCCTGGCAGTGTGGCAATGCAGACTCGTCTGCAGTGCCACGCTGCACATTCAAGTGTTCCCTGCACTGCTACCTTGCAGGCGGGGGAGGAGGGAGTTACCCCAGGAGATTCTAGGGTCAGAAAACCCATGCCAAAAAAAAAGCAGGGCGGCGCACAGGGTGGCAGTGCATGCCACCCAAACCCAGAACCTGGCTGGCTGTAGCCACGCTCCAGCTACCAGCTACAGGAACGCTGAAGCTGCAGTTTCCTCAGCCCCCAGGACCCCAAGTAAGCCTGCTGGAGCCAGCACAGTTGCTGGCCCCATCCTCCTCTACCCAGCTTGGGGTAATCTGCCGCATACCAAAACATGCATGGCATAGGCATTCCCCAGGGACAAGCAGCAATGGTACAAGATGTGGAGCTGCTACTTGTCCCTGGGAAATCAAACGTCCACACTCATCTGGACATGGCCATAACGTTTTTACCCTAGACCTTGCTGCATTTCAGTAGTATGTGAAGACATTTCTGTATCTAACCTAACTGTCATCTTTATGGGCCTGTATATGAAATTGCTTTGCAATTTCTGAAAGTGAGGGAGGGTCTGTTAAGAGTATCTCAGAATTTAAGCACCCAAAACTACCAGTGACTTTTCAGCATCTTGATACATAGAATAATAGAAATTAAGGGCTGGAAGCGGCTTCGAAAGATGATCAAGGCCAACCCCCTGCTCTGGGCAGGAAAACTGCTGAAATCAAATGGTCCCAGCAAGGTGTGTGTCCAGCAGGCCTGTGCAAAGCGGCTAGTATTTGCTTCAGATTCGGATTCAGCCAATTCAGGGGACAGTGATTCAATTCAGTGATTCGAATCACTGTCCTAAATTGATTCAGCTGAATCTCCGAATCAGCCAGGCCAGGCCCATCCCCTGCCTGCTCTCCCAGCCGGGCAATGGCCGCCCGGCCTGCTCCAGCTCCCAGCACGTGGGGGAAAAAAAGCTCGACTCACCGGGTGCTGCTGGGTGGGGGGAGATCTCTGCTGCCCCCTGCTACCCCCCACTGCATGGGGGGCTTTACACGAGCCTCTCTGATACCCCCTCGCTCCCCAAGCCCCTCATGGGTGCCCTGCCCGGGCCAGCTCTGGCCCTTTAAGGAAAAGCACAAAAAACCCCACAGTCACCGCTCCTGCTGGTGGGGGGCGACCCCCGCTGCCCCATGCCACGTGGGGGGATCTGCACGAGCCCCTGAAGCCCTGAGGCTGCTGCAGGAGCGGTCAGTCCCAGGGCTTTTCTCCTTTTTTTTTTAAAGGGATGGAGCTGGCCCAGGTGGGGCAGCCATGAGGCGGGGCTGGGGGAGCAGGGGAGGTCAGGGGGCTTGTGGCATAGCTCCCCATGCAACATGGGGTAGTGGGGGGCAGCAGGGATTTCCCCCCCACATCTGGCAGCACCTGGTGAGTAGGGGCTTTTCTTTAAAGGGCCAGGAGCTGGGGCAGCCATGGGGGGGCTGACAGGGGTCCCCCCATGGCCCACTCCCCAAAGCCCCGCTCCCCCGCCCCTACTACTTACCAGCTTGGAGTCAGCTGCAGCTCCCTGCTGCAGCCACCAGGGACTGCCCAAATCATCAAAGCTCTCTGAATCTTTTCTGAAAATTTGGAGAGCTTTGAATCAATTTGGACCTTTAAACTGGTCCCCCGATTCGATTCAGATTCGGGCCGAATCAAATCACCACCCAAAGCGTTGCACAGCCCTAGTGTCCAGTCTCCTCCGAAGACTTCCGAGGCTGGGGACTGCACCACCTCCTCGGGAAGTCTAGTCCAGGTTCCAGTCACCCTTATTGTAAAGAAGTGCTTCCTTACAGCCGGCCTGAAAGCATCCTCTAGCAGTTTATGGCCACTGCTCCACGTCCTCCCCTGGGGGGCCCTGGAACAGTTTTTCTCCCAGCTCCCAATATTCACCCCTTACATACTTATAGACAGCCACCAAGACCCCCCTCAGTCTTCTCTTTCCCAGGCGGAAGAGTCCCAGATCCCCTAGTCTTTCCTCATAAGGTTTGTCCTCTGGGCCCTGAATCCTTCTTGTGGCCCTGCTCTGGACCCTTTCAAGGTTCTCCACATCTTTTTTGGATGCGGGGCCCAGCACTGGACGCAGTCCTCCAGCTGGGGTCTCACCAGTGCCCAGTAGCGAGAAATACAGTATCACTTTGCATGCAGTAGCTAAAGATACAGGGCACTACCACCATGTGTATATCAAATAAGATATCATTAACACTCATCCATCCGCAATCCTTGTGATCCAAACCTTTGAAAGAAAAATGTCATTTTGTAGGTTTCATTAATGTCCTTATTTATTGCTAACGTTTTCTGCCCATATGAAAACAAATGAAGTCCTAACATAGGACTCTGAGCTGAGGAAATGTGATGCTGATGAAGTAGGATTTAACAATCGGCATTACCCCCTAGTGGACAGAAAATGTTTCGCATTAACTTTGTAACTGCCATGTTT